TGTTTCCCGGACGTCAGCCTGGGTCTGGAAGCGCGCGCCGCTGCGGCCGCGGCCTCTCTCAGTGAGCGGCGGTGCCGTGCGTTCGCGGCGCCGGTGTCGCCATCGCCGTGACCATCGACCGGCGCGCGGTGCGTCATCTCGCCGGCGAGAGGCGGCGGCAGGCGGGGCATCGGCCCGAGGCAGGAGGGCGCTGAGCGGGCGGACCGGAGGCATCGGCCCAGGGCGAGGGGCGCTGAGTGGGGCGGAGTCGGAGGCATCGGCCCAGAGGGGCGGGAGGGCGCTGAGCTGGGGCGGAGACGGAGGCAATCGGCCCAGAGGGCGGGAGGGCGCCTGAGTGGGGCGGAGTCGGAGGCAATCGGCCCAAGAGGGCGGAGAGGGGCTGAGTGGGGCCGGAGCCGGAGGGCATCGGCCCAGAGGGGCGGGAGGGCGTGGCTGAGTGGGGCGGAGTCGGGGGCATCGGCCCAGAGGGCGGGATGGGCGCTGATGTGGGCGGATGGACGGAGGCATCGGCCCAGAGGGCGAGAGGGCCCTGAGCAGGGCGGAGCCGGAAGGGCATCGGCCCAGAGGGGTGGTCGGAGAGGGCCCTGAGCAGGGCGAGCCGGATGGCATCGGACCCAGAGGGCGGGGAGGGCGCTGAGTGGGGCGGAGCCGGAGGCCGCCGAGGCTCGGGTGTACGGGGTCCGCCAAGCGGAGCGGAGGACGGAGGGGCGCCCGACAGCTGCCGGTAAACTGCAGCGTGGAAACCAGGCCTCAACTTCCAGCCCCCATCCCCCACCTCCAGCTCCAGCTCCCAGGGCCCAGGGTCTGGGAGCCGGCGCTGCTGCGTCGTTCCTCCCGGCACCGCCCCGCCCCGCGTCAGCGCCGGCTGTGGCCGTCGGTGCGGCCGCCTCACGTCCGGCTGGGAGCGACCGGACACGGCCGATCTCCGCTGTGGACCACTGGCCGCGGCGGAGGCGGCTCGTTCGCCGCGCTGCGTGGCCGCGCTGCAGTGTATTGTGTGGGCCCACTCTGACCGGGGGAGGCGCGGGCGCTCGGACGCCGGTGTACTTTAGACAGGGTGGGCAAGAGACCAAGGACGTGAGAGAGCGAGGGAGCGAGGAGAGGGCGTAAGCGCGAGCTGTTAGTGTTAGTGGTGCGTCGACCTCGTGGCCTTTTCGCGGCTTCCAGGTCAGAGGTGCCCTATGCAGGCGGGAACGGATCACATTATGTTTCCGTTCTTCTGAACGCTCTGATCACAGTATGTTGGACAGAATGCTATGGGCAAAATGCTCTGATCACAAGCTCAGGACAGGCCTGCCACTCTGACTGCCGGCCTGGGGGTGGTCTGGCGGCTGGGCGCCGGCCGGGACGGGTCACGTTGGCCGGCCCGGCCGCCGCCGCCGCCGCACGCCGACGCCGGTGACCCGGGACCGCGCCGGGCGCCGAGCGGCGGCGGCCGCCGCCGCTGCAGTGGGCGCGCTGGTCCGGGATTTTGTGTACGCGCGCCGGACCCGACTGGCCGGCCGGTTCGAAGCTCGTTACGGAGCCGTGTCCTTCAGCGACGGCGCGCCGCCCCGGGCCGTCTATTATTCATGGCGCGCGCGCGGGCGCGCTGTCCCGCCTCGCCGCCAAAACAAACCGTGAGACGCACCGGCCGGCCGCACTGCCGGCGTGAGGCGACACCGCCGCGCCGGCCTAGCACACCCGCGCGCCCCCTGGCACGGCGCGGCCGCGCCGTGTTTAGACGCCTTCCTCCGTGCCTGGTGTTTTGCGCATCAATTAGTGCGCTGCGAGCAATTACCGAAAGAGGACACGGGCGCGGCTGCGTGTCCGATGTTGTCATGGGCCGGTGGTGCGGTCCGGCACGGGGTTAGGGGGGAGGGCCGAGGTCAGCCGTGTGAATGGCGTGCCGAGGGGCCGGTGGCACAGGCGAGGGGACTGACTCGGCCCGTGTGGGTGACTGGGGGGCGACGTCGGTGGTGGAGGTGGGCGCGGCGATGGGACTGTGTGACTGCTCGAGGAGGTGGATCGTTTTGCACCAGTCCCGATTTGCAGCACGACCTGGGTGCCGTGCCCCCGGGCTGCGACGCCACCGTGCTCTTAACGTCATGTTGCACAGAACCACAGCCAGGAGCGGGGTGCACAGCTGACGAAGATGTACCCATCTGATCGTTACCCTGCAGCGCCACCGGAGGCTTTCAGCTTAGGTCATTGTGAGCTAACTTGAGCTGTCAACGTTTGTGTGCAGGCTGTTGACGGTACCCGTTGGCTGGTGTAGGTGGCCGTTGACCCGACCGCCTGCTGTTGTTGCGTGCTGTGTGTTGTCACGAGAACCTCGCCCGCGGTTGCCTGCCATGTCCGCCAGTGCTGCCACCTATCGCAGACCGTGCCTGACCCTGGCCGTTCGTCTCCGTTGCAGAATGGTTGTGGAATCCCATCACGATTATGGGAGCTTCCCCAGTGCGGCAGCGAGCGTGAACGGCAGACAGGTGAGTGTGACGTCACGGCGCCAGCTGGCGCCGCGGAGCCGCCACAGTGCGGGGCGGGGGCGGAAGACATCCCTCGCGATACGACACGTCGCGCCTTCTTGCCGTGTTCGGTGTCTGGGGCGCATTTCCGGGCGTTTGCGTGGCATGTTCCGCTTCGCACGGGCTTCGACACCAGCGTGCATACGCCGTACCCCAAAGACGGGACGCCGCACCTAGGCTGGCCGGCCGGCTCTGGCTCTCCGTCGCGTCGCCGTCCTCTGGCGGCTGGCTCTGGCTCTCCGTCGCGCCGCCGTCCTCTGGCGGCTGGCGGCCGGCTCTGGCTCTCCGTCGCGTCGCCGTCCTCTGGCGGCTGGCTCTGGCTCTGGCTCTCCGTCGCGCCGCCGTCCCCTGGCGTCTGGCGGCCGGCTCTGGCTCTCCGTCGCGCCGCCGTCCCCTGGCGTCTGGCGGCCGGTCGGCCGGCCGGCGTCCTTGGCGTGTCCTGTGGCGCCGAGACTGCGCCGCCCTGCGAAATGCTGCGTGTTTGGCGGCGACGCAGGCCGACGCGCGCTCGGGACCGCGCGCGAGATGACACGACGACGACGACGACGGCGACGGCGGCCCGGGGCCGGCCGGGGCGCGACGGCAGCGGGGACGGGTGGCAGAGGCGCCGGGGCCGTCTTACCGGCAGCACAGGGCTCGCCTGCTGCGGCGATGCAGCAGCAATGGCCGTAGAACCTACAAAATATCCAGTCAATGTCTAGGATGTGCCAGGATACCAATATTTTTACCTGGGAAGTTATTATGTTATTTATAATTTGTTCTACTTTTTATAATTATATTTATAGTTACTATAAGCTATTATTAATAAGGATTACAGAACACCAGTGTAGAGGTGTAGCTGCGACTACGGAGGTCCAGAGCTGGGCACATTGGGAGTGCGGTTGCAAAGCTCGGTTAGGGCGGCGGTCCAGCCGTGGCAGCGGGTGTTTCTTTTGCGCGACCGTTTTTGGCGCCGGCTCCGGGCCCGTTCAGTGCTAGTTCAGCCGGCTGTGGCGTACCGAGCAGCAGCCCGTATCACGGGTCAGTGTTGGTTCAGCCGGCCGTGGCGTGCCGAGCAGCAGTCCGTATCACGGGTCAGTGTTGGTTCAGCCGGCTGTGGCGTGCCGAGCAGCAGTCCGTATCACGGGTCAGTGTTGGTTCAACCAGCCGTGGCGTACCGAGCAGCAGTTATCGCGAGCCGTAAACAGCGGTGAGTTTGAGGACCACGGAAGGCTCAGTGCGCTGATGCCGGACGGTCGGATGAAATTGGCCGTCCGGTGCTGAGCCCAGTGCGCTGATGCCTGACGGTCGGATGAAATTGGCCGTCCGGTGGTGAATTTCTCTCGGGGTTTCTCTCATTTCCCGGCCGGTTTGGCATCATTCCTGTGTAATGCCGCGCTACACGGCCGCAGGGTGTAATCATCGCCGGCG